GAGGCGCCCCGCTTGGGCGCGCGCAACAGCCCCGGAGGGCCTGGTCTCTCCGGGAACCGCGGCTGCCGCGTCCTCAGTGCGAACCGTGCACGGTGCGGGAGATGCGGCCGCGAGCTGGAGGCGCCTCTAGTCGCCGAGCCCCATCTAGGAGCCGGAACGGGCGGCGGCGGCGGCACGGACAGCGCCTGTCCCGCCCCGCCCCGCCCCGCGGCGCCGCCCCCTTCCGCACTGCTCCGCGGCTGCCGGGTAGCGGGTGTCCCTGGCGCCCGCGCGGCCCAGCTCGCCGGCTGTGGGAAGCGCCGGGGGGAGGGGGCGAGGGTTGGGCCGACCCCGCCCCGCCCCGCCACGTGCTGTCTTTGTTCCCGCCGCCGCGTCCCAGCTGCCGGCCGGGGATGGGGGCGTCTCGGCCGCCGCCAGCCTCGTTGCGCACGGGTCCCCTTATTCCATATCAACGCCGCAGCTGGGGTACGGCTCGTAAACCAGGCCGGAAAGGCACGGACAGCTTGGGCCACTCCACCAATAAACCGGCATCCCCACACCAGACAGGACCTGAGCCCTACTGTCCAAAACCCAGCAGGGAGACCTGGAAACTTCCACACCCTCTTGCTCTGTTAAAACCTGGAGCAGCTGTCTCCAACCAGCTCCTCCTCCTCTTGATTTATGTTTTCCATTATAAATATATGCAATTTGAAAACATACCAGTGCAATTCTGGTTCCACTCGTCTCACAGACACAAATCCAGATCTTTCACAAAGGCCACGTTTCATTTGTTATTCATTCCTTTTAGTTTGGTTCTGGAGATAGATTCAAACCTGACCACACACCTGGTAAGCGGGAAACACAAACCACATCTTAATCCAGATTATGATCTCTCGCCCTGAAATGAGACAGCACTCTGGCGAAGGGGCTCACACCCAATTCCTGACGGCGCCTGCCCGCTAAGCTGTCGACTTACACCAGTTCTGCCAGCCGTGCCGGGTGGCACAGAAAAGGAGTGCGGTATACCCGATCGACCTTCCCCAGAATCCCGAAGTGCTAGTTTCTTTACTACCCAGAAAGTTCTGTCAGCCGTTACAACTGAAAGTCTTTATGGGCTGTGCTCACCATCAAGTGGAACAGGCACTGCTCTGCTCCCAAGGGCTGCCTTCTCCACAGCCCTCCGCCAGCGTCTTCTGAATGTCCGCGCTACAGCTTAGTCTAGTTTGTGTTCCCAGAACACAATACCCGACCCGGGGCAATCTATAAAGAACACAGATGTATTTTGCTCAGTTTGCAGGGGGCACCACCTAGACCCCACAGCAGGATGTGCTCAGGTAAGGACTTCACTCACAGCAAAGGAGAAAGTGCAAGCGTGCACGCGTGGAAGGGGGGCAGGTGCCAGGCTTGATAAGAACCCCTCTGAAGACAACCGCCCACTCTGGCGAGAAGTATATTAAAGCCTTCATGAAGGTGGAGCCTCCATGACTCAGCTACCTCTCACAGGTCCACTTCACCTCCTGAGTGCTGGTGGAGATAAACTCTATCGCAACCACATACACAAGCCAACCTGCTCTGCAAATGGAGCTGTCCTCACCCTCCCCTTACCTCATTTCAAGAAGTATGCAGTAATCTAGGCTCTCCAGGTCCCACGGCTGGACATCTCCTGTTCCTAAGGAAAGCTGAATGCTGGCCTCTTCCTCAGCCCCTAGTGTAGAGGCCCATCTTGAGCTGGCCACAGATGTCTCCTGTTAAGCAATTACGCTTTCCGTTTCCCAAATTACAGCCAGATCCTAAACCTGGAATCCATGCCTTAGCAAGCCTGGGCCCACCCACTGTCACCTGTAACCAAATTTCAGCTCTAGCTATTTGAGTTTAGGGTGGGCAATACCACGCTCCTTCCCACCACTCTCAACCAAAGCAACACACATTTACACAGGCCTTTTCCAGCCAAACTCATGTCGCCTTACCTTTGTTCAGGCAGCCAATCCCTAGCTCCTCCAAAAAGCTCTCTATAAACCAGGAGTGGTGGCACACACCTGTAATCCTGGCACTCAGGAGACTGAGGCAGGATGATTGCCATGAGTTCAAGGCCACCCTGCACTGCATAGTGAGACCTTGTCTCCAAAGAGAGAGAGCAAGCGACAGTGAGAGTGAGAGTGAGAGAGAGAGAGAGAGAGAGAGAGAGAGAGAGAGAGAGAGAGAGCTCTCTACAAACCAATGCCAACCTCCTCACATTTGTCTGAAGCAAAGAGCAGGAATGAGATGGCCTACTTGCTAGGACTAAGGGAAGGTTGTCGAGAAACCCTACCCACTCTGGGCTGTGCCTGTTAAGCCTGTTTCAAGATGGCACAGTTCTGCTCACTTACCCCACCACCTCCCTACCTCCACTTCCCATCACTGCGACAACTGCAATTTCAGAGAAAAAGGGCAGGTCTGCCTAAAACTGCAGAAATCAGGACCCTGAAGGCAGAGTCAGCTGAATGACCCAAGCTGTTTTCTTTGCAACCCTGTTCACCAGAAAACTGCAGGGAAGATCTCCAATTTCCGGTCCTATCAGGCAGCCAGCCTGCTTTACCCTCCAGCATGTCTCTAGCTGCCTAAGGGCCAGCTGCTTGTGAGCTGCCCTGCTGGGCTGGGGCACCTGTGCAACACTGCAGGAAGTCCTGTTCTGCATAGCCCACTTCCCTTGCTACCCTAAGGAAGGTAAACCAAGAATGCAGCCAGCCACAGCTCCCATAAAAGGTTTCAAATAGAGCTGGGCTAAGTCCTGCTTCCTGAAGTCTTTGTTCGTTCAGGGATCGCAGAGCAACATCTAGTGGCCCTACAGGGCAGCACAGATTACATTAATTCGGCACCTGCCAGGACACCAGAGCAGCCACCTTGGCCTGGGCAGCACACTCCCAGCAGTCTGACACACAAGCACCTCTCCACGCCATGGAGATGAGAGCTCTCTGAGCAAACCCATGCCCAGGCCGGCCACGGATCAGCTGGGCCCCAGCCATGCCGAGACAGTCCGTGCAAGTGGAGGAAGCATGGGCCCAACTGTCAGTCCTTGTGGTCAGGCAGTGCTGCCCAACAGATGGACAGTGTGAGCCATGACCACAAACCACAGGGCTGGTCTGGTATTTTCTAGTGACCATTTTAAAAAAGTAAAAAGAAACAGGTGAGCTTAAACAGTATTTTTATTTAACGCAATATACCCAAAATATTTCAACAAACATATAAAAGTTATTGAACTAATTTACATCCTTTTAGTCGTAAGTTTCAAGGTCTGGTTTGAGTTTACTCTTGCAGCAGAGTTTGACCTAGCCACCTCCCCAGGGCAGGGCAACAGCACATAGCCAGCAGCTACATGCTGGACAGCCCTGGTCTAGAGGCAAGTGGAGTGAAGGGCCTGAGGGTTAGGAAACCCTCTCTCCCCTGCTCCAGCTCTGTGTCTCCATGGAGTCTTTTTTTTGGCAGAATCGGGGATTGAACTCAGACCCTTGTGCTTGCCAGAGAAGCGCTTATCCTACTGAGCCATCTCCCTGGCCCCTCCATGGAGTATTTTTTAAAAGTCCTTTATGTAAGCAAAACTGTCTAGGAAGAGTCCCATTTGAGTACTCCCTGCTTATCTAGAATGGTGGTCTGCCAGCTCTTTCCTCTTTCCCCTCACCTTCCAACAAATTACTTACATTTTAAAAAAGAAAAAGGGGCCAGGGAGATGGCTCAGTGGAATAAGTACTTGCCTGGCAAACACAAAGACCTGAGTTCAATCCCTGGTTCTGAAGGAAAAAAAAGAAAGAAAGAAAGAAAAAGACCTCTTTCTCCAAGTACACTAAGATTAGAAAAACTAACTGGAAAGGAGCTGGAAGACCCCCAGGAACCCCTTGGAAGAACCTTCTGAAGAGTCCAAAAGTGAGGTAAACTACAGCTGCTCCTCAGGATTCCAGCACCTGGCCCTCAAGACGTCCTAGCACCTCCTCACGCTCACCTCCCATGGAAGCATCATTCTCATCACACAGGGGAGGAAGCAGGCCTCAAGCGTCTCGCCTCCAGCCTGTGTCCTCACCAGACTCAGTGCCTCAGAAAAGCAGGGCTACCTGAGTTCCGGTTCTCACTCCAGACCAGATCAGTTTCCTGCCCAAACCCTCCAAGTGTGGATTCCAAATGTGGCTAAAGACGACCCGCTAATGAGGTAGCAGACCTCTGGCCAATAAAAGGGCTCGAACAATGCTGGGCTCCACGGAGTGTGAGCTTGCTTGGAAACCCTCCCGCACCCAAGAAAGGACACCTCTTGAAAAAAAAATTATTTTTATTGGAACTCATCTGAACATCAGATATACCTGGTGTTGGTTAGCAAGAACCGTTTGTACATTTGATATTGATGGTGCCAAAACCAAAACAGTGACTGGATACGATGGGGAAAGATGGTGAGAACAAAACTTGATTTTGGAGAGGAAAACGAAAGCCAGTCAGATTCAGTGAAGATGCAAAACCTGGTACAACAAAATCCTTTTACAAAATATAAATTTATTACGAAAACCTGGAAGGATAATCTGAGAAAGGCAAAGAAAAAGAGGCCAGCAAGAAAGAGGCATGAGGAAGGGGAGAGGAAAAGTAAAAAAAAGACCGAGATGACAGAAGAAAGTACAGTTGAACATGGTAGAAGTACAGAAGCTCATCTGCCCCGATGGCATTCAAGCCTCACTATGTAATCGCATCAGAAAAGAAAGCATGCTGAGATACAGTGCTCTACCTCCCATCCATTTGAGTTCTAAGAGGTAAATAAGGAAGCTCCCTGGGAAGGGGACATGAGGTTGCTCCAAAACCCAACAAGGGAAAAACAAAAACAAAAACAAAAACAAAAACCACACCCCACAGTCTCATTTCCAATGTTCACTGTTTAAAAAAGAAATAAATCCATCTGACAGCAGAAGGAGTGGGACAGGGAGAAACTGATGGAATTCAGACAGTCCAACTCCTCTGAAGGGCAAGACGGGACAGGAGACGGCCTCCTGGCTGAGAGAAGGGAAAGAGAAGAGAGAAC